AACATAAAGGTTGGCACTAAATTGAATCTGCTGGGAAGACATCAAGGATGCTCTAGACTTTCAATAAAACGTGAACATATTAGTCTAAACTGGAAATACTGGGAGCCAGTTAGAGTTTTAGTTGGTGCACAGTGCACTCAGAAGGTTTTGTCTTATTACACTGAAACTTACATGGGCTGAGAATATAAAATTGTGCATGTAGAGGGGAAGACATTGTTTTCAAGTCTTGTCTTCGGGTCTGGCTTTAAAAGTCAGATACAGTTAATAAATCCTACCAATTAATTGTTCATTTTTATAGTGTCATTATGTCATCATAGTGCTGTACTGACTAGAGAGGATGCAATAAAATAATCGATTTAAGTTTAGTAAACCAAACTTTTATTTTAAATTAATTTGAAAATAAAAAGGAAAAACAGTGGGGACCAGTGATTACTTATTTAGGCACAACCACAGCTTACGTGCCCATCTGTCTGGCTGCTTATTGGTTGACGTAACAGGCTGCTGTCTTCTGTCAAATACTGAACACAGGCAGGCCAAAGAGCCATAGTCACTGTAGATGGCTGCCGCTTAACTAAAATGTTGTTTTTAGATCTTAAAAACCATAATCCTTATTTTTTATCAACTCTTCATAGTGAAGTTGTGTTCCAAGACTGGATGTATCCCATATATGCTAACAGTTTTTTTTTGTTTATACTTTGCGGGACTAAGAGACAAGCCTCATCTTTAGTTCATAGATGTTAGAGTCCCATCTAACGCCTTGAAAAGAATAAAACTCATTCCTTTGAGTGACGTCTTGCTGTAATACTTACCTGTGAGCTTTTATTCTTGTTTTCAAAGCATGCATTACCATTTAATGTGTTCATACTATAAAGAACGTGATATTCTTTGGAACATACCTTCTGTGGTACTCGTATAACATGTTTTCCTTTAGTTTATAATTTGAGTCGTATAACTCCAATATATATTTTCACTCAAGCAGTAAATTACATTGTTTAGTTATCAAAGGCTTTGTGTAATTACATTTGTGCAATTCAGGATGACAGAGCTGATAGTGTCTGCACAAGACGCTGGCATACATAATCACAGGCGAAATCCCATTAGGGAGGATGGAGACCATTATTATGGAAATGACCTTTGGGTGACAAGAATTCAGGGGGATAAAAGAATACTATGTAATCCTGACAAAGAGGCTGTGTGAAGCCACTTGCTCTTTATTTTCTCTTGTGCAAATTTAAGAAATTTATGGTGTTTTATGAATGTGCAATTGTGTTTTGTAGTGTCACATTCCTTTTTTTTGTGTGCAAGAAGCCAGTTAGTCTGCTTGAGAAGTGAGATTTGGCAGTGCATTGCTAATTTCATCCTGCCTTTCTGGTGTGTGGTACTGTGGGTAACTGCAGGGCCAAGATAGCAGAAGAAAAACTTTACGATGTGTTTGTTTCTCCCTTTTTTTCCCCCACCGTGGCACCTTCGTTGAGAACTTGCTCACCTTGGGATTACTGGATTGTCAAGCTGAATCTCCGTCTGTTTGTTTTGAGCCACGCTTTGATACTCTCACACTAAAGAGGCAGCTTCATAAATTCACATTGTGTCAAATAAATCAATAGATCCTATTAACTGAGGAAGTTGTGTAGTGCAGTACTTGAGGGACTGTGCCCCCCCTCGTTCAGGCATTTCTCCAGCAAAGGCAATGGCAGAGGAATGTAAGGTTGGCTCTTGATCCATACAGACAGCTCCAGCAACAGAAATGGTTTGGCTGACTGGTCTCAGTTGGTCTTTAGTGTTGTCTCCACTGTGCTGCCAGCCTGGGTCTTCAGCTGAACAAGAGGAATGAATTTGCTTGGACATTTCCAGCCTTACAGTGCCAACCTCCTGGTCAATCAGTTTGTAGTCCTCATGTGACTTAAAGTTTAGTGTTGCAGTATTTTTATTTTATATTTTATTTAATAAATGTCTGCTTTCACAAAAATGGTACAACAAATATTCTACACCTATAGCCAGAATTTAATTCTTTACTTCACTGGCATGAGATGAATAACATGGCAATGTCAATTCTAGATGTAGTTTCAGGCAAAAATATGTTAGAACACCAAAACAAATGTCCAAAAATGCACAATGGAAAATACACCAATATTTTTACTGATATTTTCACCACACAGAATCGATCTTCCTGAATACAACTTTAAAAAGAAATAACATGAAAGCTTGCCTGAGAGAGTTCATGCTGTGCTGAAGAATAAAAGTAGTCAAATATTGACTTCCAAGCTCATTAGAATTGTACAAATGCTGTTTGTGCCTTAAACTGTATATTATATTTCTGTTTGTTTGCACATTTCAATAAATTACTGCACCCACTGTATTTCCCACTGTATTGTACCTGTCTCATCTCAAAGTACAGTCCCTTACTTAAACCATATCTGTTGTGTTATATATTATTAGGCAGCATAAACAAATACATCAACCGTATATAAAAGGCTGCATTCACATGTAGGATAAAGATAAAACTCCCCAATTACTCGTATTGATTTTAGCACGGCTTTTTCCATCACAGCCGGGATAAGTGCACTCTCCTACACCTCCAACACCTACTGTCATCAGCTAGGCACATTCTTTTTGATTTCGCTGGTGTAAAATAAACTCTGTGAAAGACATTATGTAACATACTTTTGCACATAGCCTCTCTCCTGTATTTACCATTTTTAGAAATGATATAAGCTCGGGTTTCTTCATCCGTTGTATGTCTTCCTCCATATTTTCTGTCTTATTAGCCTTTGATTTTCACACTTCACTTGACCTTTTGTTCTAATGATTGTCCAAAACAGCAGAAATGACTGGAAACCTAGACCGTCATCGCACTGCTCCAAGTTCCAGCCTTATAACATAGATGGCTCATGAGATCTAGAGAAAATAATGACAGAATTTAGCTAACAACGTGTGACCTTTGCACTCTGTCATTATAATAGAGGCAGGTTTTTGACTCTAGGAATATCTGTCTGCTCTCACAGGAATATTGGAACATGTCTAAAAGAACATGTAAAATTACTCCTTACCTTGTGTACTAGAACAAGTAATTTACAGTCGAATGTTATGCTATTTTCACGAATTCGGATTGTTCACAGTAGAGAATGACAGGAGGATGAAAGGGAATAGAGCATGACACGTGCTGTAGTTGAGAGCCAGACTCAAAGCTATACCAACGTGAGTACATGGCATGCTTCCCAGCCCACCAAATATCAGAGCGTGCTTCAGGAGATCAAATTAACCGCATAGCTTGAGTTAGCTTGAGTCATTTTTACTGTTAGTGAAGTGAAAATCAGTACTTTTATTTTCTAAATGTGTAGTTTCTGGATGAATGCAATGCAACAGTTTTGTAAATAGCAATCATTAATCAATCAGCAATAAAAATAGTTGAATATGGTGCATATAGTATATGAAGTGTTAGTACCAATAATGCTGCATTTATTGTAGTTCTTGGAGGTTTAGCTGTAGTATATAGAGAATTGCATTTGCTAGACATCATTTTGTTCACGAGATGAGATGCACGATCGAAGCTGTAGGTGCTGGAAGAACAAAAAAAATGTTAAAGACTTCACAATAAAAGAGAGGTGTTATATTGTTTTCTATTGTGTAACAGAACACAATGATGAACACAAAAGGGATCATGATATTGCTTCTAAATCTCATTTACCAAACTGAAAATACAAAGTGAGAGTCTTGGGGAAAATAGCAGACAGGGTTAGTAAAAGCTCACAGCAGATTGATCTGTGCATACAGCTTAACTGTATTAAAGCTCATAATCCCTGTAAATATCTTCAGGCAAGGCAAAGTCAGCCTTTTAACATTGACTAAATGAAGTAAATAGAAGCAAATACATTTTTAAAATTTGCTTTTCTGTTGAGCCCCTGTTCTTTATATATAGAAGCGAGTTGTGTGAGTTGGCTGCTAATGAGGCTTGCACATTTTCAACCAAGATATTTTGATGGTTTTGCCACCCTGCCGTTTGGGGGTAACAGTGAAGCTCGCTTTAAATGTAGAGCGTCTGTTCCCCTTTCGAACCTTTAACACCACAACAGATGGGGAGAATATGGAGCTCGGAAGGTTTTACCTCTGAGGTGGTAACAGTGAAGCCACTCATTAACACTGAATTTACCACTTCGTTAGCAATGCAGCTTCCTGTAGAGAGCGACCAGCCCTGGATGTCAAATCCACTGAGCATATGTTTCAGACTAAATCTGCTCTGGACAGCAAAATATAATCTGTTATAAGATCCAAAATGCACATTTTTAGTTGTAGTTATTTTTAATAGCTCAGAGCTATTTGGTTTCATACTGTCCAAATAAATATGGAGTAACTGTGCTTTCAAATCAGCCACTCTTAAACGAATTTGTATGCCTGTCCACGTGTATGCGCCAAAGTGTATGTTTTCTTTGTGTGAGTCTGTGTTTGTATTTCAGACAGATTGTGTGCCTGCCAATTTGTCAGGATTCAAGTAACAACAGTCTCATGCTGGGATCTGTGTTGGCACCATCACAGAGTGATAAGACGCAATATGATCTCATTGGAGGTGTACTTTGTTCCCATGGAAATTGGTCAATTTTAGCAGGCGACTGAGAACTTTAGGTGGAGAAGCAGGAAGGTTGTATCCCAGAGGTACGCTCACATAATTAAGCATCCTCACCAGGGTATTCAAGGCTAACAGCAGGGTTTGTTGTGAATAGAGGTGGCGAAAGAGGGTGTTGGAAAATCATAATGCGGCACAGAATAATACCACTCTCATTTTACAGAGCAGTGGGAATAGCCCAAAAGGAAAAAAAAAAAGATTTTTTCAACAACACCACATTGTCAGTGAGAATGAGAGAAAAAGAATTAAATTTTACTATATTATGTGCAAGAGTTATCTTTTTCTATTTATACTGTGTATACGTGTAGATATGTATAAGACGTTGCACGCTTTATTTGACTTGCTCAAAGTTTGCAGAATAATTTTCTTCTTCATATTTCAGAAAGTATCGCTGCTATGTCTGATCTGAAGCTGAATGCGCAAGAGGACAAAGACGTGGAATCGGTGTCTGACAGCCCAGGTCGTACTCGGGAGCCATTACAGACTCACACATTCTCCCCGAAGAACAATGCTGCAGGTCTGTCCTCAGATGAACACGAAAACCCTTTAAATGGAACCCAGCCGAATCCATTTGTATACAGCAGTGTCCCTGCTGTTCCCCATGCAGACAATTCATTGCCTTCAGGAGCACTTGTTAATGGACCTGGTTCACACCCCAACTCAGAGGTACACTGTGTCCTGAACAAAGGCACTGTTTTATCCAACAGTGTCCTGGATGCCGTGTGGCAAGCGGAGAAGGACACGAGCCCCGAGGTGTTACCACCACCTAGTGAGCTTCAATCAGACGCTTGGAAGAACACAGTGGGACCCGACGTAAAAACACCGGCCACACAGCCAGGTGTCAACACGCCACTGTCTCACTCGGAGGAGAATGAGTCTAAACTGGCCTATTCCACGCTGTCAGGTGACAGTGCAGAGCAAATGCACATTAGCCAACCTTTGACAAAACAGACAATAAAAACAAGATCTCCACGGGACATGGAACGGTCTGGAGTCTCCTTGGATGATTATGATAATACTGAAGTAATCAGGTGGGATTCAACAAGAAAATGCTTTTTGCACAACGACAGAAGGCTGGAGACCAAAGTGATGCCCCAAAGAGACAAGAAGCACAATACACACACGAAAAGCATGTTAGGCTGTCTTGAAAAGGTTAACAACAGCTACAGACATTTCTGCAGTGGTAATGATGTTGAAAGTGTTGACACTGGCAACAAAGATGAATTTTTGGGTACACAATCTGACATTAAATATTCAGTTATGCCATTCAAAGACCTTTCTCGGAACATAGCTTTAGACTCTGAGAGCCATATTTATAGCACAGCGCAGGGAGGCAGTAATGAGGAAAATGACCCTGAAGATGAAAACTGTGTTAGTCCAAAAGTGGAACAGTTGAAGGCAGAGCAACTTGAACGAGATTCACTTTTCTTTTCATGCACAACATGCAATGTTAATTTCAAGGAAAAAAGACATTTCCATAGACATATGATGTATCATTTAGGCAAGCATAATCAGGTGAACAGTGAGAATGATTCACAGCCCTTTATATGCGGAGAGTGTGGGCTTTTGTTCTGTGATAGCAACTCCCTCATGAGGCACATCATTATTCACCAAGATAGGCTGGAAAAACTTATGGAGGAAATTGAAGGTCTCAAAAAGACTGAATTTGAAGATGGGGCCACCACAGTGCCGTGCTCTCGGTGCACGTTTGGTTGTAACTGCCAAAAAGTCTTTGTCCAGGGTACCAAAACACATGATAATTTGAAGCACTACTACTTTTGTGAGGAGTGTAATTACATTTCCTTGACACGGCAGACACTTGTAGCACACTTACATGTTGCACACCTCAACACACACCAGCCTCAAAACAGGAAAATGAGTCATACTAATGATGCAGAGGGAGCACAACATGTTCCGTTTCAGTGTAAAATGAGTTTTTTCCCAAGGAGAGACAAAGTAGTGTTAGGAAAACATTCTGAAATGCCATATGTTGGCAAATATAAAACAATAGCCCGATGTAAACCAAATCTATTTAAATCTACTTTAAAGGAAAAACTCGACCGTTCCACTGAAAAGGGGGATATTCACATTCAAAAAACTCTTGACAACACTGTAAATTGTCATCAGTTTAAACCCAATGCCAGCTGCACTAAAAGCATGCTGTCGCCATATTTGTGGAGAATCGACAAGCATGGAAAGTTACTCTTACAACCAGCAGAAAAATTGGATGTGGAAACCGATCTCACCTGTGTACAAGAAGATGCTGAAAACAATGACCGCAGGGCTTTTGGCAGCTTAAAGCTGGCAAACCGTCCTACAGCCGCTGCTTTTACAGCCAGGAAGCTTAAATTGGACCAGATGTTCTGTCAGGGAAGCAAAAATGACCCCGTAAACGGGAGTTTACAAGTACAAGTAAGCCAAAATTCTCCATCAATGGGAAAAATGACTACACCTTTGCATAACACTACTGAAAGAATGAATGGTAATATATTGCCTGGGCTTAGCCAGAGGCTTAAGAAACAGTGTGCAGTTAGGGAGTTAAAGAAAGGCTGTGAGGGTGATGATAACTTCAGTGATGACACCAGCGAAGCTACAGGCAGCTTCTTGGAAAGCAGCGAGAATGAAAGGAACTCATATGCTCGGAGGTATTTGAAAAAGAGGCAGAGCTTTACAGCCAAACACCAAAGCCCCCACGCACTCAAGGTTGAAGATGATGGAGATGAAGACTGCAGTGACATAGAACAGCTCATAATCAAAGAGGAGCACATTGAAACGACAGTGAGTGATGATTCCACAGAATTGCCTAATACATCTCCAAGTGATAGTTTTGATATGTCCCCCACACCATCAGTAAAACATAAGCCCTGTCCTTACTGTCCCGCCACGTTTGAGTCCGGAGTGGGTCTGTCCAATCACGTGCGAGGACATCTTCACAGAGCTGGGGTGAGCTACAATGCCCGGCACATGGTTTCACCGGAGCAAGTGGCGTTGTGGGACTATCAGCCAAGAATCCGCAGAAAGATTTCTACTGGCATGAGAAAAAAAGGTACGATTATTTTAACAAATAATAAATACAAACCGAGTCTGAATGGACTGTGTGCCAAAACTAATATCCCTAACACCGATTGGCTCATTATAGCCTAGCTTGTGCAATATTAGGTGCCTGCACATACTGTAGAATTTTAGTGTAAGCGTGCCACCTATCAGATGTGTTCTGTATGTCCTTAAATGCTGTCAAAAGATGAATAACATTATATTTTGTAATTTAGTAAGAAAATCATTTTGCATTTTTGATAGGAGAAAGAAATGGAGCCAGGGATGTGTTGGAGCAAGCATCTATAATCTTAATCAGTGGGATTGCATATTGCGCACCTCTCTATAGAAGCTTTGGTTAATTACTCCATGACAGAAGTCAAAGTTCTTCAAAGCTCCACAACCATTTCAAAGTGGCACTTCAGGATATGGTATAGGGTTTACGATTTAGTATTTCTGTGATCGGCAGTAGGGTCTATTATATGACTTACATATAAAAGCAGCTATAGAAAATCTATATCTATAAAGTTTCACATTCCAAAATGTACACTAAAAATAGCTTTTTTCTTTCCTTAAATTGTGACACACTGTTCTTATATTACAGCTGTTAAGCCAGAAACTCGAGGACAACACACGTGTCCTGTGTGTTTGGAATGTTTTGATAGCAAAACTGGCATCTCTAACCATGTGAGGGGACACCTGAAACGAATAGGTACAAAGGTTACCAGCAGCAGTAAGTCTCCGCTGTGCGCACTAAATGAATTGCTACAGAACAAAACGGAACATTGGAACAACCTTCTGACTAAGAGTCAGTTCTCCTCTCAACCTTTAGCCCCTCAGAAGTTCATCTGCAGCAATGGCCTCTTTCTGATGCAGACAAGCATCCCAGGGAAACTCCAACATGTCAAAAGGAGTCTGCATCCCATAAAGAAAAGCCTTGTGTGTAAACACATGGTAGATAACCTCTCAGAAAGGAAGAAGCTACATGGGGAAGCAGAAAGAGGCACTACAGCCACATCAAGCACTTTAGTTGAACTCCTCAAAGCCAAACAGGAAAGTGTGGAGCTTGCAGTGAGCCAAGAAGCCTATGCAACCAGGGTGATCTGTGAGATGACCAACGATTATATGGCCAAAACAGAGATGACCAGTCGGGAACCAAACTGGTCTGTTGGTATGGAATCTTTAAGTCTAGATTTGGACAGCCATCATACTGTATGTAAAATACATCATTTTTAAATGTTATGCAAAACCAGCCAAAGCAGAAAAACAAAAGTTGAGGTATCATTATCATGCATTTAATAGATCATATGTAAGACAAGCTACTGTATGTCAGTTATTATATCATTAAGTGTAGTTTATTGTTGCGTTTTAATAGTTTTTTATTTAATTGTCTTTTTATTTCTCATTTAATTGTTAGTAGAGGAATAGCATGTTGACCCAGGCAAACGCTAGGCTTGCATAAAACATAACCGCATCCATATCATCAACAACTTTATATCTTTTAAATTCAGAGTGTGTCCTGTTTTTGAGCTGCCTTCACTTGCGTCAAAGCCAACTAATTCTCAGATTTTAATTCATATTTTATTACAAATTTACCATGTCTCATCCCAGATAACGTGTTTATTGTCGACAGAATACAGTTAAACAGTGTGAGAATTGTTCACAGTCATTTGATTTGTGGGAAAAACACATTCTCTGCATAGAATGCCACCAAAGTGCTTTTGAAGTTCATATTAAAAAAACATGAAATCCTCTTGATGTTGTGTCACAAGCCCATCATCCACGAATCCACAATTTTGTTTAATGTCTGTCCAAATCAAATTTTCAGTGAGGTACTAAGGAGGACAAAGCTGCAGTGTACTTCCCAAAGACGTTTTATCCCATGTCTTCTGTCCTAAAGACTGATTTAATGGCAATTTGTAGAATAACATTTGGGTATTAACGTAAATGCACCACCGAGTTCATTTCTTCTCACCTCAAGGTCAAGATGACTCTCAAATCATGTGTTACTCACATTTTTGGGATATTTTTCTTTGACATACAAATACACTGAAAAGTAAAATCAGGTTCTTTAATTTTTGAAAGATCGTTTGGGATATCTACTGAACTATGCCAGATATCATTAATCATTAACATGCAGTCTAGTGTACAGCATCATTGTTGCCAGTTTTCCTGGAAAATGAATATATCTGTGATTTTGTGTGTGTGTCTCTGCGTGTGTAGTTTAGGAATCCTTTGTGACTCCCTCGAGGTGGTGAATTGTATGTGAAAAAAGTCCCCCTGAAGACACAAGATTGTGTTAAACTTTACCAGTAACACTTTCCAAACAGGAGAGTGCAAATAAGATGCTTAGAATGCAGCCAGGTGGAAGAAGACTTTAGTGCACACTGGGACTAACAGTTTATCTGATAATAAAATTACTGCATGAACTCAAATATATTCTATATTTCTTCGTAAATATTCAACTTCTAATGTTTGTAAACTTGGATTTGTCACATATGGTATCATGCGCAGGCTAAACTCTGTAAAATGAATATATAACCTAAATATTAGGGAAATGTAAAATACACTCACATCATTTATTTTATTTTTCAGGGGAATGTGACTCAAAAAAGATTTATATTCAGTGTGACAGCACCTTCCCCACTGTTTCCCAGCTTCCTGGTCATATTCAAGCAAATGCACACAGGAAGAGGATTGCAATTTTTGAAGAAGAAGGTAATTTCTGTTGAAGTAAAATGAAAAGCAGATGATATTTGCTGTATTTAGAGACAAAATGTTGCAAAATGTGCATTTAGAAGTTCATGTCAAGGATAAACGGATGTATTTCTTGAGATAAAGAATTCTGGTGCTTTTTTTTCTAGACTATGATTTTAGGAAGAAGAAACCAAGACAAAGGCCAGAGCTTAAAAATAATAATTTACCTTCACTGAATACTGAGATGTGCACACTGACCTGCAGGTAAAAGGAATGAAAGGCTACATACACAGTATTTCAACAAAACAACGCTTAAACTGGCACATGTATAAAGGACAAGCTGGAATATTGACATTTGCATGTTTGATGGTTGCAAGCAATTTGTCTGCACCCAGTTTTATGACTGTATATTTGCACACCATGATGTCACCCAGTGGTTTGTAAAGTCCTGGACAGCTCAACTTTTCTTAATAGTAATTACCACATTGCTCTTTTGGGCCAGAAGGAGCCACTCAGAGAAGCTGTTTGGCTTTGAGAATGCATTTAGCTCAAACTTGCTGCATATACCTGGTAGTTCAGCTAGATCTAACTTAGATTCTAACTATAAACAAATCACTGAGGAGTTTTTTTGGAACCGAACTACCACCTGCTGCAAAGGGTTAAAAGTCCAGAAACTATCAACGAATACTCTAGGAACTTAAATTACGGTTTGAATATCTATGGAGAAAGGACTGAATGTAATAGTTAAGATATCTGTGGAGCTTGGGGGAAAGCAAATAAAATAACGTCCGTTTTGCTTTAGGAAATGTATTGCTGTCCAGGAACGTGAGATCATCCAGTCAAAGAGGTTCTTAAAATATAGTGACTATCAAGTGTAACAGGTAGATAAGACTGAGTGTCATCAGCATAACAGTGATAGTGAACTTATGCTCCAAAAGTCAAGTTACAAACACAGCCATGGTTTAGTAACTTCTATTAGTTAAAGTGCCCATGTCTCTAACAATGCCATTTTGAAGCCTCAATGAATTTTATATAGTTATGGAAAAGACTGGAAAACTTGAGAATCTTTGATTACAATGTATAGAATGAATAAAACTACATCTTAGTTAGAAGGCGTTAGAAGAAATGCATGAAGTCCAGAAACACTGACAGTTTCTTTTGGTGTATCTCTGCAGATTCTGCGACCTAGTTTTTCATGGTCCCTTTTCCATTCAGGAGGACTGGATCAGGCATTTACAGAGGCACCTTCTACACACCAGCGTACCCCACTCAGGGAGAGGGATGGTAGAGGTTTTAGCCCTTCATCAGAAAATACAACTAAGCATGTCTCACGAGGACCCAGAAACTGGGTAGTTTTACTTCCAGATCCCTCCAGATCTATGTATTTCTCTCTCTCGCTCTTATTCTCCCTCTAGATATATAGATATATCTATATATATCTATACCAGCATGTTTCTGGAAAGAAGTATTTTAGTTATCCAGGCTACTATATAGTATAAATTTTCTGTATATTTGCAAAAACTTAATTATAGCATATTTTAATGCAACACTTTGCCTCAGCTAATACGACTAATAGGATTCCTGTTTTTTGACTGCAGTATAAATTATGCGCAACAATATGTATGATCCAAAAAATGTTTTTGTCATTATATAAGTGCCTTGTTAATTCAACAAAACAACTGCTCAAAAATCAGATTTTTGTAAGGAGGTTTTCATTATAATACAAAAACTTAGAAGGAGCATTAGTTAGAAGGAGAACTGCACTTTAAAAATAGACAAGAATTTGAATGTGTTTCATGTTTCATTTTCTTTTAGAGATAATATTCAGTGAAACTGTTGCTCTACTTGTACGCACAGTACAGAGTGTCATTAGTTTGTGGATGCTTTGTACAATTTCACCTCTGTGTACCTGCATCAGAGACAGAATTCTTCTTAATCCAAATGACATTCAAGACATTGGGACAGCTTGTTCTGTCATCATTTGTTCTTTGCTTTAACCTTCAACATTCAGCTTAATTTCTGAAAACTGATTCTCATTGTTAGGCACAACAATAGCTTTTTATGAAAAACCCTCTTTAGTTGTAACAAAAGTTATATTATTTTCTATGATTAGCTCTGTGTTTCCAAAGGTGCTGTCTTTGGTTCAGTGGAAATGTGTTGTAATTAGAGACATCACGCTTAAAATTCATACTTAACAGTTTAAAGACGGAAATACTATGAACATTACCTATTATCCAAATTCACTTGCACTTAAATTTGTCACAAATTTTGCATGACAGGACTTCTGGTTATGCGCTAAGATAAATTTAGGTATTTCAGCATGTGAATAAGTACTTTTGCCAGGTCCTTTCAGTAAAATGTAGTAGTTTACCTTTTTCTTAGTACATTTTCATAATTGTATTCTCTACATTGTATATTTTAAGAACAGCTAAGGCTTTGACGTGTGTGATCTAGTCTGGCTAAACCTATTGCCAAAGCACTTACCTCAATTGTAACACTTTTGATTTATACTATATTAAAAGCCAACAAATAGTATATTTAAAATTCAGAAATTTAGATTTAGCTAAATCAAACAAATGCTTGCTCTGGTTTTACAACCAAATGCCATGAAAGGATAACTATTTTATGCATTTACTTGCCTATTTTGAATATGGAAAACTGCAGATATAGCATCTCCTAACATGTTGTACAGTTTAGCTTTGTATTAATACATGTTGTTGAATCAATTTAAGAATTCCAATTTGATTTGGATTATATCTTCTGCAATCAAATATTCATACAATTCTGATGAAACTTGCATGCAAATATTTGTATAGAAATCAGCTCCATTGATATTCAGCATGTGTGATATGAAAGAAGTGTTGTAAATTTAAGGAATTAAACACGTGTTTATTTGTTGATGCTGTGCCAAATTACATTAGTGACGTTTTTCAAGATGTTTTTAATCTGATAAAAAGATCTTATATGATGTGATACCATGCTTAGAGGAGCATCTGACTCCTCTTGGCTGCACTGGCATTATTTACAGCAGCAGTTATGAGGGACTGAGCAAAAGGTTTAACGAACATGCGGATAATTGAGCAAGGTGAGATTAGGTTAAACAAGAGACGTCATTTACAATAAAATGGTGTTTATCACACAATATGCTGTTGAAAAGACATGTTAATTACTAAACCTTAGCTGAATCACAGATCAACAGGCAGGTGCACATTTGCACACTGAAACAAACATTGCTGGCTGGAAGAAGTCCTAAGGCAATTTGAGTGTGGGTGATTGAAATCCATACTCGACTTCCAATGTAAAAATATATTCCAAAGTTTTTCTGAAAATAACACGATGTCTGTTTTGTGTTTCTTTTCCTCTGCTGTGCCTCAGCAGGGAAACATAATCCAGGGCAAAGAGAGAGAGAAAGGACATTTCTTGGTGTAAAACTGTAAGCTTGAAGGATAACCACTTGGGTTGTTGAAAACAGACTCCAGAAAGAAGGTTCATAACATAGCAGGCCTTGGTGACAGCATTCTGTCACTCAGTCATTGGTCACTGTTCCTTTAATATTTTTCACCTTTGTTCAGCTGCAATTTTTCACTATACATGGAGAAGTCTTTTTTTGTACTTGTGCCAATGAGTATTGTCAGCATTGGCTCTAGTGAAGTGCAAACACACCTTTGAACGTTTACTTCTCTCTGCCATTGTCAATAAAAGCAATGTCTTCCTATGTGTCACCTCTTGCAGCAGCTGCTCCACCCTCCAACCCCTTAGAAATCTCTCTCTCCTGTACTGGGAATAGTAAAAGATGCATGTTAAATGAATATCGCCATCTTATTGTAAATCAGAAACGGAGTTGATTAGACACAAGAGACGTGTGCAGCATAAAAAAGTGAGATCAAGCCAACATGTTCAGATTCATATTTTAAACAGACTTTTGCACATGGCTGAAGACGTCTTTATTTGCCTTTATTTAAATGTATTATGTTAAATCAAGCCACAACCTTGGCAAATGCCAGTTGAAATAACTTGACAAATGAGAATTCACAAACGGTTAAATTGATTGGCCAGTTTGTTTGTAACCAAAAAGCAGAACCAGTGCCTGTAAGACCCAAACATTGGTGTCATTAGCCTATTAAATGGCAGTTTTCAGATATTATCACTCCAGTAGATTTGGCTAGTGTCTCCTAGCTCAATAGCAGGCTGTTTCAACCTTGTTAAATTACGATGTTGGCACAGATAACAAATAAAAGCAAGGTAGAAGTGACAAAGTTGGTATTCAGTGGTAGTGGAGTCAGTGGTGGCATGAGACATTTGTTGCACTGGGGTTTGTGTCGCAGCTGCAACTGGTTTTTAGACTTTATTTTACAACTAATATGTGCTGCTTAATGGGCCACAAACATCCAAAGTTAGTGAGTAAACGTAGAAACTCAAAAAAACACAGTTGTCCTGCTGTTTATCCCCATTTTCCCCATTAATGTTCTGCTACATCTATTTTAAAGTCAATTATATATTTGTGGAAGTAAATGAATATTTTGCTAGCTTCAACCATGCATGAATATAACAACAGTGAAGCCAGATGTGAGTTTAAATGACTTTCTCTTGCTGCTTCAAACCTGCAGTGCCTTTGAAATCTGTGAGTGGAAATATTTCACAGTATATAGTAAGTGATGTCTTTTACATTCAGACAGCAGAAAATTCATTGTTTGTGTTAGTGCAGGATGGCCATTGCCTTACAGATCTTCAGCTGCAACAAGATTCACATTCAGACAAAAGAAAATCTGAGTGCTGGTGTCACTTTGTTTGGAAGATGTGGAGGAAAAATAATAAAGATATGATCTAAATAAAGGCAAAATATGAATTTGTAGTGGATTTAATGGAGTAGAGTTTAAGGTTGATTGGTGTTTATCATGTATTAATCTGTTTAATCTGCCCTGAAAGTGGTGACGTAAACAACCTCAAACACCACAGCAATTTTTTTTTGACAAAAACGTCATCATTCTAATTTCAAAGAAACGTCTCTTTGATTACAGAGCACAGATGCAACTTTTAGCAGCAGCAGCTGGAGTTGCCGCTTTCAGCTGTCTAAAGGTGTCTTATGTGATAATGAATCAGCCCCTTCCCCACAACACACAACCTGATTTTATTTGTTATGTTTAACAAAATTTGTTACAATTCAGTTGGGTGAAAGATGCACATTTCAGTGTCATTTTGCACCATTATTCCCAACAGAAAGTAATATTAGGGCTATGTGCTATTTTAAACTCCAGTGTTTTGCAGCAGAACTGGCTGGGTATTTGATGTTTCTAATGCTTGAGAGCCACTTCTGGGTTTTCTACTTACCAGTGGCAAAGGGGGCTAACCCTGCAGTTTATCTTGGGCAGTATTTAAAGCAGCGATCAAAGCTGTACAAACCAATTGTCATCATGCTTCTCTGGAGGGAATTTTGAAGTACATTAATACTCCTTCTTTGGGAAATAATTGTGCCACTCTGTGACTTCATTAGGTCTCCTGGCTGTTTCAAAAGATGTTCTCTCTGGAGGTTGAAAGCCACATCGCTGGCAGACAGCATCCCAAGGGGCTGAATGAATAAAAAAAAGGAGAGATTATAATGAGATTGAGTTAGCCATGACCAGAATTGGGCTTTTCATTATCCCACTGGCTGGAGAGAGAAAGAGAGAGAGAGCAAGAGAGGGGGACAAGGCTGACAAAAAGAAATGTGTTGTTGCAGGACCTGCTCGCCATCTGCCAACTGGGTCCAATGGTAGGCAGCCAATGCATGCTTATCATTTCCATGGGTATCAAAGGGGCCTCCTCTCTGGAGATTTCACCATTAAAACCGCAAGCGCTAACCCCGTACAAAGAGCGAAACACGCATTTAATTCAGAGGTAACAGTTTCTGTCAATTTAGCAAATCAAAATCAGGGGCAGCATAAAAAAACCTTCAATTACTTCAATTTTTATGATGCGTACGGCAGTATCCCAAAAGAGTATGCATCAACCAGAAGGACTTTTTTATTAGCTATGCTTTTATAAATAAATATATATATTTTTTCAGTGTCTGTGGCAGCAGTGAATCAAAGGTCAGGAGCATTGATCGTGACCTGTTCCTTTGGCCAGTTATTTAGAAGTGCCACATATTGTCTGTGTAAAAAAAAGAAAAAAGGAAAAAAAGGAGAAGAAAAATCAATAGGTTTCCATTATCTGGTTGGGCAGTGTCACTGGCCTGTCAATGATCCTGTTACAGCGGCGGTACAAGGGTGACACGGGCCCACACTCAATCGCTGCTGACAAGAGGAAAACATGCTGACAGGCACCGGGAACAAGTTGGAACACAGATTTGCACTTCAAGCAGCCGTCCGAGGAGGTATCGTGCAAGGCCACCACGTGGCAGAGGGGGTGAGCTGGGTTTGGGTGGATGTGTAGGGGTTGATATGTGGGGGTGGGGGTGCTGGGGAGGAAGGCGGGTGATTCCCAGCCAGCCTCCTTCTACTGTCTGACTGTCTAGCTCTCAACCACAAATGCTTTTATCCTCCTATAAATTATTCACCCCTGGATACACCAAAGGAAACTCGCTTGCACTGATTGTGGCTGAGGGGAGATTCATAAAACCTATGCCCCAGTCTGCATCCACTGCAGCTGCCTGGACACTCCTGCAAACTTCTCCAAATCTCACCTACTCTATGCAATATAAATATGGGTTATGTTAAGCATGAGCATTGGAATACCCATGTTTTTTGGGCTTTGTGAATGGCCTCAAAAGGAAATTTGCCAAATCTTTGTATTTACAGGTATTAATCATTTTCCATAGTTATTGACTTTCTGACACATTAGCTCTTCACCTACAAAGAAAACAAGAGTCAGCTTTCATCAGTCAGTCCAGATGGCCAGTCAGAAATTAAGGAAGACATCAACTGTCTCTTGAAAGAACATGAATCAATATATTTTGACAAGGATCAAATGTGCTTCAGATGAACCTTTTTGCCCTCCCAAAGCAGTCTTTCTCCTCTTGTCAAACCTCTTTATTTTTGTTTGTCTACATATAATGATCACATTTCCAATGACTCTTGATTTTAGCGACTACTTTTACCAGCATAATGAAACTGAATGCAATTCACCGGATAATCATCTGCGGTCTAAAGTCGACATATAGCTAACAAAATACTATACGATATACTTTGATTCTGTGTGCCCAAGTCGTAGCCAGCGTGCGCTACTTTTCATTCTTTTTATTTTCATAAAACAGGCCTTGGGACACTCGTGACGTCACGTCCCTGGTTAGAGAAAAATACCGCCCTTCTTTTGTTTTCTTTTTCAATTACACATACATATGTGTACATTTTTTTCTTCATATGTAGCCAATTCTGTTCATAATGACTGGGGAATTCAGGTTAATATGTTGACAAGGTTTAACAACAGCGGGTCATGTTGCACAACACGCATGGCTGGCTCCGTTCACTCCAGCAGCTGACAGGTCCTAATCATGCGCTGCCCTAAAGGCACTGAAGCAAAAGAGGGTTTTAATCACTGAATTATAGACCAGCAGCGAGGCTTCAAATTGAGACGTAATTAAAGTCAAAGTTGCAGTAATTGTTTCAGCTAATTGGGCAGACAAGTGCATTATTGCGCGATTACAATATCTGCAGTAGTTCCCAGGGTTTGAGTTTTTTTGTTTTGTTTTTTTAAATATTATTATGGAGAAATGAGGCATAACCTTGGTTTCTGATATGAAACATGTCAATAATAGGTTACGATTTATACTTTATAATTTAACATTTTAAAACAGAGGAAAAAACTCACAATTAAAATAAAAAGCTTACAAGCAAGAGCTCACCCCTTTTGTGGTATTTTAATTAATTAAGTTGTGTAATTTTTCTTCTATGGCTTCACCTATTAGTTCAGTTGAGCACCTC